TTACACTTTGGCCCATTCCGTGGGATTCGATTTCAGGGATGTCACTTTTCAACTTCCTGTTTATCGACTTAGTTAAATTTTCGACATTAATGGTCAATGGTAGAACATCACAGCCTCATGATATTTGGTACATGTATACAAATGCAACCCGACCATTTCTGTTTTTGACCAATTTTTAAAGTTTGTGCGGACTACTTTTTGTAATTTTGATGCAATTTTGCCCAAACTTTACAGGATTGACCAGTACCTCAAGTACTTGCGCATATTACACGGGTTTTCTGGTTGAATGAGTTTTGGTTGAGTTATGGCCATTGAATAATTTGTTTTGTCCCACTCTTGTGAAGCCTATGACTGTAACTGATATACGAGGATTGATAAAAAAGTTCTTGACCCGATGTACTTCCGGTAGTCTAAGAACCCAACTAATCGTAGTCTTACTTTTCAATATAATCGCCCTCTACATCAATGCACTTTGCCCACCTGTGCTCCAACTTGTCTAACCCTTCAAAATAGAACTCTCTATTTTGGTCCTCAAAGAAGACATTGACCGCCCCCATAACATCTTCATTGCTTCCAAAACGAAGCTTGGTTTTTTAGTTTCGGAAACAGGTAGAAGTCAGAGGGGGCCAAGTCCGAAGAATATGGGGATGGGGAAGAATTTCAAACCCCGCAGTCAGTTGCAGCAGCCATCGCTACGTGGGATGTGGGAGCTGGCGCATTGTCATGCAGGAGCAGAACGCTTTGAGTCAGTTTGCCCCTCCTTTTACGCGCGATTTCTTGACGCAGACGTCTGCATAGTACGTACCGTTTATGGTTCGACCTTGCTCAAGATAGTCAATCATGAGTATTCCCTGACTATCCCAAAAAATTGAAGCCATTATCTTCCCTGCCGATGGCACCCTCTTGAATTTCTTGGGAGGGGTGAGCCAAGGTGCTTCCACTGCATGCTCTGTTTTTGGATTCTGGATCGAAGTGATGGACCCATGTTTCATCCTGAGTTACGATCCGGTAGATAAAATCAGGTTCATCCTCGAAGCGAGACAAAAGATGTCAAGCCTGGTCCGTTTCTGGTCGTCTGTCAACTGTCTGGGGACCCATTCAAAATTGCCTAAACTGAACCAAACTTTATACCTACTTCCCTAGCAATGCTTCTCAGGTCTCGCCTTCTGTCGCACATGACCAGATCGTGCACAGCTTCGGCAGTTTCATCGTTTGTGGCCTCTTTTGGTCGCCCAAACCGCTTATCATCTCCAATGCTCTCCCTGCCCCTCTGAAATTCAGCAGCCTATTTTTTCACAGTGCTAGAGGAAGGGACTCCTTTCCAAGTGTATCCATGAAGTCTTCATGGATTTCCTTAGGGGACATCCCTTTCTTACAGAGGTACTTAATGACGGCTCTAATATCAACTTTCTCCATTTGGTCTAAATGACACACCCTTCTACTGATCAAAGTGTGTTTTTTGTTACTTAATCTGTGTAAAATCGAATGTATATCTGACAGTAATCTTCAATAAGATATCGGTATCGACATATCTTGTGAAAATGTCAGTGTAGTGGATGAAGTATATCGGGCCGAGAACTTTTTGATCATACCTCGTATGCTACAAAGTAGCGACGACTGATAGGATTGACTTCTCCGTCGTCTGTTTGTCTGTCTGTCTGTCACAAGTCTTATCTAGACTACTACTTAAAATACTTTAAATTTTATCCAAACTTTACAAGGTATGATAAGTTCAATATTTTTGTCCCTTGAGTTCTGGCCTTTAATAATTTTTTATCTTTTAAAAACTTTTCTTCTACTACTTATGCATTTTGAGTTAAACTTAACAGGGCGAATCGGAACCTCAAGTACTTGTACATATTCAGAGGGTTTTCCGGTTGAATGATTTTTGGCTGATTTATTGCTCTTGAAATAAAAAGAAACATTTTGGTCTGTTCAGTAGCTGGCAACATGCTACAAAGTAAGTGTGGCATATAGGGAACAAACTGTACAACTGCTTAATTAGCTATCATCAGGCTAGGGAACAATTGTACAACTGCTTAATTAGCAACTCCTTTAAGGGCGTTTCCCAGCACTCCATTCTCCATTCGAGCTAAGTCTAACAAAGCTTGTCCATAACAGAAGTAGGCATCTGCACAAAGTTGCAGCACTTTGAAATAAATTTTGATGGAAAAACTCGAGGCAAAATAGTGATTTTTTGGCAATTTTGAGATGTCCCCTCGTTGCCATGGTAACAGGAAATTTAAGACTGAGCATGTCGTTACAAAGGCAATGGTCCAGTCAACATCTGTGCCAAGTTTGATTAGTATTGAAGCATTGTTCATAGTTTCATAGCAGTTTGAACTTGTAACAGGAGGCTTTTCAGTGAAAACGGCCATTTTTCACAATATGCTCATGGGGGAAAGGGTTTAATATCTATCATCAGGCTAGGGAACAAACTGTACAACTGCTTATTTAGCTATCATCAGGCTAGGGAACAATTGTACAACTGCTTATTTAGCTATCATCAGGCTAGGGAACAATTGTACAACTGCTTAATTAGCTATCATCAGGCTAGGGAACAAATTGTACAACTGCTTAATTAGCTTATCACCAGGCTAGGGAAACAAACTGTACAACTGCTTAATTAGCTATCATCAGGCTAGGGAACAAATTGTACAACTGCTTATTTAGCTATCATCAGGCTAGGGAACAATTGTACAACTGCTTAATTAGCTATCATCAGGCTAGGGAACAAATTGTACAACTGCTTAATTAGCTATCACCAGGCTAGGGAACAAAACTGTACAACTGCTTAATTAGCTATCATCAGGCTAGGGAACAAATTGTACAACTGCTTAATTAGCTATCATCAGGCTAGGGAACAAATTGTACAACTGCTTAATTAGCTGTCATCAGGCTAGGGAACAAACTGTACAACTGCTTAATTAGCTGTCATCAGGCTAGGGAACAAACTGTACAACTGCTTAATTAGCTATCATCAAGCTAGGGAACAAATTGTACAACAGCTTAATTAGCTATCATCAGGCTAGGGAACAAACTGTACAACAGCTTAATTAGCTATCATCACGCTAGGGAACAAACTGTACAACAGCTTAATTAGCTATCATCAGGCTAGGGAACAAACTGTACAACAGCTTAATTAGCTATCATCAGGCTAGGGAACAAACAGTACAACAGCTTAATTAGCTATCATCAGGCTAGGAAACAAACTGTACAACTGCTTAATTAGCTTTCATCAGGCTAGGAAACAAACTGTACAACTGCTTAATTAGCTATCATCAGGCTAGGAAACAAACTGTACAACTGCTTATTTAGCTATCATCAGGCTAGGGAACAATTGTACAACTGCTTAATTAGCTTTCATCAGGCTAGGAAACAAACTGTACAACTGCTTAATTAGCTTTCATCAGGCTAGGAAACAAACTGTACAACTGCTTAATTAGCTTTCATCAGGCTAGGAAACAAACTGTACAACTGCTTAATTAGCTATCACCAGGCGACGCATGTTATCACTGACCACTCTTTTTAAGGCGTGCATTTTTCTTTATTTTCTCAAGTTTCAACGATGTAAAAACGCATCATTATGACAAACTGTGTCGTTCTCTCGATTTAGTAGAAGAGTGCTGTCCATGCAAGCTCTGTCTCACCGTAAAATAACAGTTAACATGTGTTCACGAGACACTTTCTTACAGTTAAATCGTGTCCACGAGACACTTCATAACAATAAAAAAGATAATTTGTAGGCTAGATGTTCTTATTGAGTAAAAACAAACAAACACTCAAATATCGCTAATATGTGGTTCTAATTAAGAAATGACAATAAACAAACCTCGCGAGATACTAACAAATGAAAACTAGAAAAAAAATCTTGATAAGTCGTCTCTACAAACAACAAATGCCTTCTACAACCTCAAGTGATTTCTACAAACCACACTGACCTCTACAAACCAGACTGATCTCTACAAACCACACTGATCTCTACAAACCACACTGATCTCTACAAACCACACTGATCTCTACAAACCACACTGATCTCTACAAACCACACTGATCTCTACAAACCACACTGACCTCTACAAACCACACTGATCTCTACAAACCACACTGAGCTCTACAAACCACACTGACCTCTACAAACCACACTGATCTCTACAAACATATGTGAGCTCTACAAACATATGTGAGCTCTAAAAACACAAGTTTATGCCATAAGGTGCAGCCGAGACTGTCAGTAAGTCATGTATGGTAATGGTTTTTCTCCAGATTATATAAATCATCTTCCTAACTATATGACATAATATTTTAAACGTGAAGTAAAATGTGATATTATTTATGTAATACCTAAGGTACTGACAAGCCACGTGCTAGTTGTTATTTTAATATACATGTATTTCAATGACTGAAAAGTTTCAATTCTCAAAATTTTCACTGCCCCATCATGACAGTTTCACCCAGTTGGTTTCCTTTTGATATTGAGATTAAATGTTTTAGGTCAAATATGAAATATTCATTTTAATGTTTAAAATGATGCAGCTAAATTTAAACTCTTTGAAAAGCATTCTTGTCAAAACCCGATGAACATTGCGAATAATATGTTGCAGAATAAAAATGAAAATGGGTATCATTCTAATGAAAATATAGTTCTTTAAAGCTATATTCACAAAAGTAACGTTTTTAAGAACAGAATAGTATTTTTTGTGTGAATCATATAATATGACTGTAAAATGTAAAATAACTAAGATTTTAAGACTTTATTGTATTATATGAAACTGGAACGAGTATATCCTCATAAAACATATTTATAATGTAGGTATATAGTTGTTCATTTCGGGTTGTATAAGACAAAATATCTTTGAAAATTGCGTGCTTCAAAAGAATTTAAAAAAAGAGAGAAAAAAAGGAAATTTGAAAGATTTTGAATACATAGTTATAATAAATGGCAAATTCAATTAAACTCAATTAAACTGATAACAACATATTAGAAGTGATATACATACCATAAATTTCATGTTTAAAAGCAGGTTTCTGTTCTCGCCATATTTTAATTTTAATCCAAAATTGTTCCATTTCGATACAGAAGGAGAATAAATCTGTAAAATAATAACACAAGATTATCAACTTAAATAAATTACCGTAAATAAAACAGATGTAGTAATTCCTTGCCTTTGATAATTTAATTTACAATTTTACCAAAACAAGTCAAAATTAAACCACTAGAAGTTTTTGAACTTGTACAAAGAATGTGATAATATGCATTTGTTAAAATTGTAAGGAAAATCTGTTTCCTTGGTGACTGAAAAGTGTCATACTCAAAAATAATATAAACCACTGATCTTTCATACACAATGGTGACTGTAAAATGTTTGTATTATATAAGACAGGAAGAGTCACTCCTCACTACTCACGTGTATGTTCGTTTATTTACTCAAATCATCGCCGAAATTCAATTCTCATGCTTAAAGTAATTTTGGCCAGTACCATTTTTTATGAAGTGACCGCATTATAATTAAAGTTATCGCTTAGTTTAATTGTAAATTATAATTATCGGACATTGAGCATTGTGTTGGGTAGCACGTTTGTCGAACCTCACGTTTGTATTATGGACTACGGGATCTATAGTCACATGGCGAGTAGCGCTTACAGAGAAACTACTCTTGTATTGGAAAATACCATTTACTATATATAGCAAATCCGATATCATTCATAAAATATAGTACCATGTGAAAATAAACACCGTGCAGCGATTCTTTGTAACTATTTTAGTAATAAGAATTACGTTTCTAAGGAAAATGAAAATATATTGTGATAAATAAAATGTTTAAGATCACGATTTGTAAATACCATATACATATTTGGAATTTTTAAATTCTTTACAGGCATGCGCTTAAAAAATAAAAATACAATACCAGTTTTAAAGCGGAATTTATGACAAAATGTTACAAATGTGTGTAACAAGGACTAACCTTTTTTTAATTTAGAAAAAAATTCTCAGAGAATGAATTGTATTAGTAAAATGATAAAGTAGTTACGGGAAGTAAATCATAATGTACTAATACTTCATGTTGGTATTTGAGAAACTACATCGGTTTTATGTATATATACTACTCTATGATAAAACAGAGAATCTGTATTACAATAGTATACTAACAATTAACAATTCAAGAAAGCTACAAACATATAATTTATTCACACATGATTTTAAGTTTAAGAATTATGTTGATAGTATTTTGACTGTTTTATTTAGAGTACCCATATTTCGTGTAACATACGTATATGCCGCTTTTCTAATGACTTGCTCACTATTTGTTCATTTAATATATTATTTCATATACTATACAAAATGTAATTGCTTTTCATTTTTGTATTTTCTGATCGTAAGATCAGTAAATACATAGCTAACATCCACGGTCTAACACAAGATTTCCTGACAGTCCTAACAACGCAAAGTAGTTCTCACTCAAAACTGCTTAAAAACCAGCAATTTAAAAGAAAGAATAATTTTTAATGTATGCATTTAACGAATTACAGTGCATTAAAAGTTTAGATTAGTCAATAGAAATGTGAGGTTACAATCACAAATTTCGCGGATGAATATCTTTTTTACCCAATGAAAAATGTTCGGCTATTTCCGTAAAGCTTCGGATTATCATGAATATCATTTTAATCAATGAAAATGCTATTTTTAGCTATGTCGATTAATGAATACTCCAGAGCGTAGTACACAAATAAATCTGACTGCCGAGTAGTGGAAGATATACATGTCGGACTGTTTTGGCGAGAAGATTTTCGCTAAATTATTTTCATCAGTGTTAAACAACAGGTTTATCGTGAACAAAATACCTCGAAATTAATAAGGATTGCAAACACGAAATGGAAATTCTCAATTTAGAATTACATAATGTATTCGTTTTCATTCAAGGTACATATGTATTACTTCGCCGTGGTGCAGAGATAAGCGGTCTCGTTGAGGGTGTGAGAGGCCTATGGTTCAAATCCTAGTCGATATACATGTATCAATCTCAAACTGTTATAGACAGAAAATCAAAACGCTGTCGCTGCGTAAGATGAATTATAGTATATAAAAATAAACTTATATAGGAAAGTACATACAGATAGTCAGTATGATTTAGATTGCAAAGATCAGAAAATACCATAGAGCTGCAGCCCTTTGATTGTTGCTATATGTCACAGTCATATACTTGTTTAAACAATATACATGTTAATAGCACGGCTACGATGTTACCAATATACATGTAAATAGCACGGCTACGCTGTTAACAATATACATGTAAATAGCAGGGTTACGCTGTTAACAATATACATGTAAATAACACGGCTACGCTGTGAACAATATACATGTAAATAGCACGGCTACGATGTTAACAATATACATGTATATAGCAGGGTTACGATGTTAACAATATACATGTATATAGCACGGCTACGCTGTTAACAATATACATGTAAATAGCACGGCTACGCTATTAACAATATACATGTAAATAGCACGGCTACGATGTTACAAATATACATGTAAATAACACGGCTACGCTGTGAACAATATACATGTAAATAGCAAGGCTCCGATGTTACCAATATACATGTAAATAGCACGGCTACGCTATTAGCAACACACATGTATATAGCACGGCTCCGCTATTAACAATATACATGTCAATAGCACGGCTACGATGTTAACAATATACATGTTAATATCACGGCTAAACTATTAACAATATACATGTTAATAGCACGGCTACGCTATTAACATTATACATGTAAATAGCACGGCTACGCTATTAACAATATACATGTATATAGCACGGCTACGCTGTGAACAATATACATGTATATAGCATGGCTACGATGTGAACAATATACATGTTAATAGCAGGGTTACGCTATAACAATATACATGTAAATAGCACGGCTACGCTGTTAACAATATACATGTAAATAGCACGGCTACGCTGTTAACAATATACATGTATATAGCACGGCTACGCTGTTAACAATATACATGTATATAGCACGGCTACGCTATTAACAATATACATGTAAATAGCACGGCTACGCTGTTAACAATATACATGTAAATAGCATGGCTATGCTGTGAACAATATACATGTATATAGCACGGCTACGCTGTTAACAATATACATGTAAATAGCACGGCTACGCTGTTAATAATATACATGTAAATAGCATGGCTACGCTGTGAACAATATACATGTATATAGCACGGCTACGCTGTTAATAATATAGATGTTTATTGCACAGATGTATATCGCACGTCTACGCTATTAATGTGTTTATGGTCTTTACAAAAATTAATGTTTTATCTTTATCTTTAAAAGGTTACTTTTTTATATTTTTTCTATCAATTCATCTCTCAGAAAGACTTCTCCATTGATTCACATGCAATAGTTATTTATAAATAACAAGAAAGTATTGGAAACCAATATTTGAATGATGTACTGTATAATGTATAATTCGCCTGAATCCAAGTACAAACTTGAGGTTGCTGCATGCACGAAAATGTAAAGCGTGTCTTTCCATATTGTCTCTGTAATGTAGCAGTAGTTTTTGTATTTTCTGATCGCAAGATCAGGAAATACAAAGCTAACATCCACGGTCTAACACAAAATTTCCTAACAGACCTAACAACGCAAAGTAGTTCTCACTCAGAACTGCTTAAAAACCAGCAATTTAAAAGAAAGTATAATTTTTAATGTAGGCATTTAACGAATTACAGTGCATTAAAAGTTTAGAGTAGTCAATAGAAATATGATGTTACAATCACAAATTTCGCGGATGAATATCTTTTTTACCCAATGAAAAATGTTCGGCTATTTCCAATGAAAATGCTATTTTTAGCTATGTCGATTACCGAATACTCCAGAGCGTAGTACACAAATAAATCTGACTGTCGAGTAGTGGAATATATATACATGTCGTACTGTTTTGTCGAGAAGAGTTTCGCTAAATTATTTTCATCAGTGTTAAACAACAGGTTTATCTTGAACATTAGTAAGGATTACAAACACGAAATGGAAATTCTCAAATTAGAATTACAATGTATTTGTTTTTATTCAAGCTACATATGTATTACTTCACCGTGGTGCAGAGGTAGCGCGCTTGTTTAGGTTGTGAGAGGCCTAAGGTTCCAATCCTAGTCGAGGCAACTTTTTTTTTGAAGTGTCTTTTTTAAGGAAGTAGCCACGATATGCAAGGATAAAGTGTGGCTGTCATTAAAAATGAAAAATGATTTTTTGATGCAACTCTAGTCATGCAAAATTCCATATGTATCAATGTCAAACTAGACGCAGTCGCTGCGTTAGATTAATTATAGTATATAATCAAAGGGCTGCATGCTCTGTGGTATTTTCTGATCTTTCCTGTATAAGTTTATTTTTATATACTATTATTCATCTTACGCAGCGACTGCGTTTAACAGTTTGTGATTGATACATATGGAATTTTGCATGCCTAGAGTTGCATCAAAAATCATTTTTCATTTTTTATTACAGCCACACTTTATCCTTGCATATCGTGGCTACTTCCTTAAAACAAAACACTTCAAAAAAAATGTTGCCTCGACAAGGATTTTAACCTTAGGCCTCTCACACCCTAAACGAGCGCGCTACCTCTGCACTACAGTGAAGTAATACGTATGTAGCGTGAATAAAAACAAATATATTGTAATTCTAAAATTGAGAATTTTCATTTCGTATTTGTAATCCTTATTAATTTCGAGGTATTTTGTTCACGATAAACCTGTTGTTAAACACTGATGAAAATAATTTAGCGAAAATCTTCTCGCCAAAACAGTCCGACATGTTTATATTCTATTACTCGACAGTCAGATTTATTTGTGTACTACGCTCTGGAGTATTCGGTAATCGACATAGCTAAAAATAGCATTTTCATTGATTAAGCTTTACGGAAATAGTCGAACATTTTTCATTGGGTAAAAAAAGATATTCATCCGCGAAATTTGTGATTGTAACCTCATATTTCTATTGACTAATGTTAACTTTAAATGCACTGTAATTCGTTTAATGCATACATTAAAAATTATTCTTTCTTT